CGTGCCCGAGCAGTTATCTCGAAATCATTGTTGCGTATATGAGAACACTAGTGGTAGACTGGAAAATCCAATAAAACACTTGGTTCCATCATGACAATCCTTCATTTAATACAGGCCGGCCAGTCGTTTCCTGTCAAAAACAGCGCCGAGAGGAACGGTACATTAGAAATAATTATAATTGGACGTTTATATTGAATTGTGGTAATAGTAATTGATATCTCATTAACTGATAAAGTGGCAAATGGTGATAATCTTGACCTAGACAGAGAAGATGGGAAACAGACATTGAATACGAAATCGTATAATCATGACAATCTCATTGATATTTGAAAGCTGATCCTTTCACGTTTGTTCTGAATTGAACCTTGACTCCGACAAATCTGATAAGAACATTCAATTGTTGGAGCAGCTATCATGGTTATTGCCAAAACAAAATGATGGGCCGAGAGAAAAGAGATCATCATCCTCCTCCTCCTCCTCCTCCTCCTCCTCCTCCTTCCACCTCCCTGTGATTGGTCGGAACTCCATTGACAATCCCTTTGCACACTGTTCGGTCCTGCATTGCTGTCCCCAGCACCCCAATGTCCAACCCTGAGTTTCGAACTATGGTGCCCGGGTAAGTCAATTTTCAATCAAACGCTTATTTAACTATAATTATACATATTTATATGAAAATATATTCATAAAATATATCGAACATCAGAGACCAGGTGCGCTACGTCCCTCCGTAGGTTTTGAATTCAGAGTTGTCCTTCTCCTAGACCAGTTGCCATCCAAGGCTATAGAACCCAGTCTCTAATGCTATTTACCCATAGCTGGAGGGAGAAGAAGAGGATTACTATCTTTCCTAAGGGTATTAGCACACACACACACACACACACACACACACACACACACACACACACACATATATATATATATATATATATATGGTGGTGGACTCTCCCGTCGTATTCGATGTATGAGAGTCAAGTATCTCAGTTTCTAGGAACCGACAGCCCAGACATCTGCACATAGGATTTGATTATAGTGGTGAAGGCTTTGTGCAGAACCATCCACACTTTTTGAATGTGCCGATTACAGAGACCTGGTGCACTACGTGCCACATGGTCCCCCAACTAACTTCCGTAGGTTTTGAATTCAGAGTTGTCCTTCTCCTAGACCAGTTGCCATCCAAGGCTATAGAACACAGTCTGTCCTGTTATTTACCCATAGCTGGAGGGAGAAGAAGAAAAATGTCTCTAACCTACAGCGTTAGGTCCTACAGAAAAGAATGGGAGTGCAAGAGAACTCGAAAACATTAGCCAATGTAGAACGTTGAGATACTAATAACGATTGTGTGCCTTTCATTGAGATCGTCAAGTGGATCACCTGACGGCCGGTGAATAATGTCAGGGGACAGAGCGACGATTGGCAGTTGCGATGTAAAGCCTGGAAAAGAAAGATGTCTCTAGCCCACAGCGGTAGGTCACAGGGAAAAAAAAAGAAGGCCTAACTAGATTCATAGAGAAACTGACGTAAGTCTAGTTTCCCTTTCGGGAAGTATTACAAGTAAGGTTCCCCTTTTTTTACACACCATCATCCTTTGACCTCCCTATGGTTGTTCGGAACTCCATTGACAATCCCTTTTCCACACATTTCGGTCCTGTATTGCTGTCCCCAGATCCCCAATGTCCAGCTCTGAACCAAAAGTCAATTTTCGCGAGAAGACACTTCCAGATGGATGCCAGAGGGGTAAGGAAGACAGGATTTCCCTGTCCGCTCGGTGGCAGTGGTCAGCAAACTGTAATCGTTTTTGTCTGAGCTTAAGAGAGATTGGTCTCAGTGCTACATAAATTCGTAAATTGCAAAGAGTTAGTCAAGCGTGTTGGTAGTGAAATACGTTTAATACGGATTGTGAAATCTCAAATTTAATGGATTTACAAATCATTATATAGAACGGACAAAACCACTTAACAACGCGTGTGCGTGTGGCACGCATAACGTGAATATGTGCAAGTGTGTTTACTTATGTATTTAGGTATGTATATCTAAGAAAGTTTTCATGTTTACAGTTTTATGTAAATTAAAAAATATATATATATATATATATATATATATATATATATATATATATATATATATATATATATATTAGTATTAAACCAAAATCCAAAATTGCCTCATATGTGGGATAGATCTATTTCAGTCGGCGAAAACTTCGCCAGTCATATTCAACCCTGGAATATAGACTGAGTTCACGTCGGAATTAGAAATTTAACTGTGACAGCTGTCGAAAAATTAATACAGAATTTATTCATTTCAATGTTTCAGTCAGACGAAAGGCACAAGACAGTGGTCAGGGGAGGGTGAAAGAGAAGAATTTTTATAAAATTAAACTCGGATATTAACCATATGACAGTAAATTGGGGTTATATGAAGAATTAAATGTTTACCATTATATATATATATATATATATATATATATATATATATATATTTCAATAAAGGTGCAATCAATTTACAAATTCATGAATTATTCATACAAAAACAAATACAAAGGTTAATGATTTAATTGGCGAGAAATCCATCGTCGCAAACAATTCAAATAATATACAAAAACCCCGAACCTGTTATGAATGAAAAGATCCTTGTTTTTATAAATTTCTGTTGCATTAGTTCTTATTTTTACTACAAGCTTTCGTCTGTTCCTACAGACATCTTCAGGTATGGAATAGATGTTGTTTTGTATATTATTTGAATTGTTTGCGACGATGGATTTCTCGCCAATTAAATCATTAACCTTTGTATTTGTTTTTGTATGAATAATTCATGAATTTGTAAATATATATATATATATATATATATATATATATATATATATATATATATATATTCTTGAAGCCTATATCAAAAGAAACCAATCAACACTCAACAGAATTTATTACGAGTGTAGCAGCGACGTGTTGAAGTGCATTTAAGAAACATGCCATTTTGCACTTTTACCAATTTCTGCTCAGCTCCCTTATATTGGGACGCTTGTTTTGCAAAAAAAAAAATCTACAACGAATAAATTTAAAAATTATTTTTAATTATAACAGAGCGCGTTCACGCGTGTTTTTAAAAATCACCATGACAACGATGACAGTTACATTAAGTTTGTCTTTATGATTCACCCATGACGATGATCCTCGGAAGAGATCGAAAGTACTTGGGTCAGAAAAAAACTACGGCGCCTTCCTTACCATCAAGAAACTGATTAGAGAACTAGAAAGGATTATTATAAAAATAAATAGACATAATATGTTTATATTATTCAATGAAACATATTTGAATGAAGATACGCTGCCTAAATACACACACACTGACACACACACACATATATATATTATTACTTCAACGTCATTTCTAGTGGTTACTTGTATTTGTGTAGTCATTTCGTTTAATTATCAAACAGTATATTTATTTATTTTCGTCTACCAGTCTGAATATTCGACAAATCTTATGATAGAAAAATATGGTCTCTCTCCGACAGGATTCGAAACTGCGTTCCCCTAGGTCAAACCATTATTAGGTCTGACGTTCTTTCGACCTTTCGGTTGCTGTTTGCATCGATGATGGTCAAGCAAAGTTGAACAGTGCCTTTAAACGCAGATTTTCTCTGTTCAAGTCGGAAGACGAAAATAAATAAATACACTGTTTAATATATAAACGGAGCGTCTACACAAATACGAGTATCCGTTAAAAAGTTACGTTTAAGTAATAACAATCTGTAGAATTAATAAATAAAATAGACACACCTTTCTTTTCAAATTACTTTGTTTACGTTAGGATACAAGACTGAGCTGATATGTCTATTTCGAGAGTCAGAGAAGTCAGTCGAACAGCAAACGTTTGAGTATCCATCGGAGATAGACAGATCGATAGATCGACAAATCCGGTAGATTGATAAATGGATAGAAAAAGACAAATTCTAACAAAAGAAGTATGTATCGATATATAAGAGACACCGATTGAAAAAGGCGGATAATGTTAAGAAATATTTTCAATCATCGATATAAAAAAATGATATTTCAGACTGTTGGGCTAGACCAATTTAATCTATTCCATATTTGATATGAGCTTTCAAATAAAAAATTATCAGAAACCGAACAATATGAGTAAAAACTAGAAAAGTATGTATATATATATATATATATATATATATATATATATATATATATATATATATATAAAATAAAGGCGTGCTATATTTATGGGTTAAGGACAGAGCCTATGTAAATATAAAAGTGGACATTAATGTCAACACCCAACAGCGATAGTCTGTTTCATGCTTAAGCGCAATCTTTAGACCATGTGTGTTGTGTTTTGGCTCGACTATTTATATATGCTTGTTAATGGTGCATTATGTGTAGCAAGGTCTATTCTATTATCGTAACGGTTATTGTATGGTCGGTGAGATTCAACTGGCTGGTTATTACACTGAAGAATTGAATGAGAGTCGACTGGATGGTTATTACTTCAGCGTTTGCGACTAGATTTGCCAAATCATCATCCTGTGCAGAGAACTTCATTTTGCAGTAGATAATGGAGACATTTCATTCCAACAATTTTTCTTTATATTCAATACTCCTGTAGTTACACTTATCAACAGTGTTTGTGCATTTTATTGAAGACGTTCTTACTCCAGTCTGACTGATTCTCAACGTGGTCCTTGGACGCAAAGTGACAAAAGTTAACGCGTAAGTTGAGAATTTTGCATTCTTAAGTACGGCACACAACTTACATATATATGGGTCAACACTAGACAATATATTAGGTTGGTGCAAAAATAATGACGTAATAATGTCGTTTTGTGACGTATTTTTTAACGTCAAAAAAAGACATTATTACGTCATTATTTTTGCACCAACCTAATAGTAAGATTTTGGGAAACCTGGATCAACCCTATCGAGAGGACACGCCGGTCCTAACCGCGGATGGAAAAGAAAACCGAATGACCATAAAGGTAAAGGATAGTATTACTCAACAAAGCTGGTGGGGATAGCGACACAGGAAGAGGAAGAAGAGGAGAGGCAGAGCCGAAAGAGAGATAGATAGATAGATAGAGAGAGAGAGAGAGAGAGAGAGAGAGAAAGAGAGAGAGATGGAAGAGAGTGGTGTGTGAGGAGAGACTGATAGGGGGTATATGGGCTATATTTGGTGCTGTGTCACCAGGAGAAGACCCTATTAATATCTGTCTATATTTTTGAGATGAGGTACATCGTTCTGATCTCGGGGTAGATTGCTCTAGTTTCACATGCCATTCCTTTTCCAGATGTCTCAGTTGTTAACTTTAAGGACACATGACCCAGTAGATAAAAGCTTTGTTTTGGATCCGGTGACCTGACCAAAAGAGTTGTGAGTTCAATATCTGGCTACTGCTGCGGTGAACAAAAACATGGATAGTCAAGTTAAATGGAGATAACTGGAACATCCGGAAGAGACATGGCGCGTGGAATTAGAACAATTTTCCCCGGTGGATGAAATAAATGGTTCGGCTCGAAATTTCAATCATCTGAAGAAGGCCGGAGCGTCCAACGGCCGAAACGTCATGAACATGACAATAAAGATGAGGACAACAGTTCAAACAATGTACATAATGTAAACTAGACCCTATCAAGTCGATCCGAGACGCAATCTAGGACATTAGGAAAATGACCCATCTAGAAGAACAGAAATCAAGACAGCGGGCCTACTACTTACTTCGATTAAGTTCGAACGATAAAAAGGGACCTCCTAGTAAGACCTCCTAAGAACAGATAGGAATAAGAACAGCATCTCATCATATATCTCTGTCTGTCTCTCGGTCTCTCTCTCTCTTTTTGTTGTAACCTAGAAAAGGTCACTGAATGAGGAATAATCAAAACGGACGTTGGAACTGAAATGGTAATCTTTATAACACCAACAAAATAAAATACTCGCCAGCGACGTGAAGTAGGTAAACCACTGCTCGTGGTGGACTACTTAGCATATTACCCCCACTTACAATATGGACATACACATTAGTGTTCATAGGTACGGTATAAAACAGTTTATATTTATACACTTATAGCCAGTTAAAGACTGTCGTATCTTCTTCCGAATCATATAACTTTGCATCATTAAACAAATCTAATCCAATTAATTTGTTACATACTTTCGTTTCTTTTTACAGTTCAGTTGATCTATTTGCAATGGGTTGGTAAATAAGATTGTATAAAAAATGTATACTAAACTAAGAGATAGGGAAAAAATTAACTACTGATTACGTGTCGTAGAACAACATAATACAACAATATGGCGTCGCCAATAAGATGTTTAAGTCGCTTGGATGAACCAGTATGTGTCGAGACTTGGATCCGGTTTTTTTTTTTGCAGCCCAGAGTAGGGATAGAAAATTGAAAAAAGAACCAAGCAACAGGAGAGAAAATGAAACCACTGTCCTCTTTCTAGCTTCGGAAGGTTGTGAAGCCATAATGAAAATTTCTGATATGGCATACCCCAAACAGCTGAAGAATTTGACTTTCAGAAATTATAAAAAGAAGTTCGAGACCAACCAAAGGCATTAAAACTCTTTGCTTCAGGGAGGTGTAGTGGTTTGATAAATAGGATTGTACTGTTATGGGACCTTACCCATAATAACATAATGGACTATTCCATACGTAATAAATACTGCGCCTCAAGAGGAAGCAGGGAGTTCAGTCTGAAGTCGAGCGACCGGCTGAACGGCTGATCGGTTGAACTCTCTGCCTTCAGGCTGAGAGGAACCCGAACGAGGCTACGCTGAAGGGCGGAGTCTCTTTCGGGGAGGTAAAACCGACCCTGAACCCATTTATACGGGTTCAAAGGGCATATTTTTGGCAAAGCCCACGGGATCGGAGATCCCACGTTAAACCGGTTAAACATGATGCCCTCGTGTGTGTGTGTGTGTGTGGGGGGGTGACTAAATGCTGTTCAGTCTGAAGTCTGGAGTGAAGTCCGTCAGACGTCCGTCAGTCAGAGCGAGCGAGTCAGTCAGTCGAGTCAGAGGCAGTTCGAAACAGAGTCGTGTTCAGACAATTACTACTAAACCTGATTGTTCGTACTAACACTTCTACTTCTCTGTATATATTCCTGTTTTTAATATATCTATGTTATTCCATATCCGCCTACGAGTTCTTCTTTATTGGTTCTACCTTGGATTATCACCGTGGTACAAGGAACCGGACCATAACAGTACTTATTTGCATATGTGAAATAGAAGAGAAATAAAGTGCATATTAATATAAGAGACAGGCGGAAGTTGACTGCTGGTCACGTGTCATTGAACAACATAATTCTTTGTTGATGACGTACTATTAGGTAGCCATTTCTAAATCCTGTTTGTTTACGTGGGGTTTTCACCCCAGACATTTGTTAGACTGTTTCAGAATCCTTCGTATATACTTGTTAGTCATGGGATAGTACGCCATCAAAGTCTGTTTGCTATAAAGTAAGATTGGTATTACTCCGCTGTAGTATTATTTTTCTTTTTCATATGCACTGTATTGAATAATTGTGCAAATTATTTGTGGAATTCTTCGCAAGTCTCACATATAAGAATAAAACATTCGGCATTTCACTAAATTTCTTCCTTTGCCATTTTTCTCTTGTCTTGAGTTATGCAAACGAATTAGAAACGTTACCACGAATACAACTGATTTTCTTTGTTTCAATTTTTCTGCATTTAAATAACAAAGTTCAACTCGTCACGGGGCCAGATTTCCAGGCACCTACACTATACGTAATCTATTTTAATGTTTTGGCTTGACTGGAAAATTGACTCCATGTTAATCTTTCTGAAAATCATCCAAGTTGTTCGCTTTTTTTGGTTCGTTAAATTTTTTGTGGCGGCATTTTGATGGTTTGACGATAATGTGGGACGTTTGTTACATTTTTCGTTTCAATAAATATCAACATAGCGTCTGATATATTGGAAGATATGATGGCTATATAAAAATCAATGGAAATAAGTTATAAAAGACACGCTAAAATAGACAGAAATGAACAGACAGAGATACATAGTTAAGAAGCATAGATAGATAGATAGATAGAAACAGTTTGAGATAGATAGATATGAACAGACTAATAAATATGAACAAATTCTGTGATAGATGCATGGAGAGATAGATATGGATAGACTTAGAAATGAACAAAGATAAATAGATATAATAAATATATATGAGAAAACTGTGATGGATAGATATGAACAGACTGATAGGAACAGACTAATATATATATGAGTACACTGTGATAGATGGATAGATAGATATGAACAGACTAAGATAGATATAAGCAGACTGTGGGCTGTGATAGATGGATAGATAAATATAAACAGACAGAAATAGATCGATAGAGATATATTAACAGATCCTAGCTAGAGGCAACCGGACGTCTAGCCACACTGATGAGCTGTGATACAGCGAAACAGTCTCTGTGGATGATAATATATATATATATATATATATATATATCCTTTATGATACTTATTGAAATAATGATTGTATCTTGTAGCTATTGTAAAATGCCATATAATAGAAAATCGCTAATCATTTGTATTCGTTAGAGTATTTTGTCAAACTTCAAATGCTCCGCGATCTGAAAAGATTGAATTATTAATTAATTAATTAATTAATTATTATTATTATTATTCATTTACCTACATACCTATGACGTGTATACTGTTTTCAACATACTCATAAAAAAGAAACACACACACACATGTTTTTCTGTCAATTCATCTTACGCGACATGCTTTTTTTTAATACGATTCTGTTTTAATAAAAAATAATTATCTGCCACTTCGCGTGACAATCCCGCACGAACTGGCAAATAAAACCAGCCATAGCAGTTACCGAGATAATTCGGTAGACGTCATGTTTCCGTATCTTTCACAGCTCAAGAAACAACAGCTCAACATATTAATCTCTAGTGACACACTTAATATTCACGTAAGCGTCATTTTATTTCCATTGTCAGCATTTCTCATTTCTTCGTCTTTTTTTTTTCAGTGTATGTTAACTTACTCGGCAACATGGACAATTTGTTATTTTTTTAATATCTCCTAGTAAAATTCTGTCTCATATTTGTATGTGAATATATTGCACGAATAAAATGGAGTTCTCTTCCCTCTTCGGGCTATTCTCGTCAGCCAAGTGGCTCTAGTACTGCTGGTTAACAATTATGGGGAGGAATATTCCTTTTCTTTCAACAATGCTTACAATTTTATTTGAACTTGAACTTGTGTATATTAATTGATAGCTTTTAATACAGCCAACCTTTCAGACTTTGGTCAGCGGCATCTGGTAAATATGTAAGACAATTTCATTTCCACAGGTTTCGCTGATCAAACAGCGCCATCAGAAAAACGACTTTATCTCAATCAAATCTATCTATATTGGCGAGATAGAAGGTGATTCCCGTTAATAATATGAAATATTTTTTTCTAAACTATAACTGTATCGTATTTTAAATTAGATTTTTACTGCAGTTTGACCTCTTAAATACCAGTATCCTTGGGACAAGGCCAATGGCGGACCACAGAAAATATCGGATTGAAATCACTCCTAAAAGCTCTATGTAAATATAGTCTTGCCAGTTCATTCCATATATATATATATATATATATATATATATATATATATATATATATATATTGCTGTATTATAAAAGTTAGAACAAAGCTTAAAACAGGAAATAAAACAATCATTAATACTTCTAAACAAAGTTTTTTTTTTTTTATTATTTCATGGAATACAGAGGCTAAAAAGCAGCCCCAAAACAAAAAAATAATATATACTTACTACTCTAAACGGGCAAATGCAGCTATATATAAGAAATGATCAAGACCACAATATTCTGCTTGCTGTCGGCTGCTGCGGAAAGTTGCCGCTCGACGAACTAATGGTGGTTGATTGAATAATGTGCCGGACCATATGAGTTACCGGATTAAAGAAGTCGGACAGTAATTTCACTTTGGATTTTATTTATGCCTTCATTTGTTTTAATATTTTTCTTATCGCACATTGTTTCAAGACAAGTTTAGTAAGAAGAGTTAAAAGGCTGAAAAAGCCGGGTCTTATATTATCTGCAGGGGATTCGTCAATCATGGCACTTCCAATTTAATTTCGTCTAAGTAAATCCTGTTCATTTTATTTTTAAAAAATAAAACAGTATTTCCCAGGTAAAAATTGTGGTCATATGACCGTAGCATATCGACGCATTGAATATTTTTTTTTTATATTCTTTAAATTTCGGGGGCCTTCTCAACATCCTAATTGGTAGATTACTGCTTCTGAGGCAAAGTTAGTTGGCTGTTTTATTTTGATTCAATTTTGAATTGTTCTAAAATGTTTGTAGTAATTTTTATATTGAGATTAAATGAATTTCCCCCAATTTCATTATTTAGCTTGTAGGCAATATGCCTAGTTTTTGTATCCTTTTTTTTCTTTCTTGATTTTGTATGCTTTTCGTTTAGCATTTATATATGAAACATCAAGTTTAGTGGAGGATTTTAAAAATATCTACAATGTATTTCTCTTCATTACATAGATACTCGAGGTAATAAATTCTATGGGCTCCTGTGATTACGTCAGAATTCTATTTTATTGTTGCGATGTAAGGAAATGTGTATGACGTCATTTGCATTCACACTATTTACACTGTTCTCATCTTTGTTGTCATATTCTCGATATTTCGGCTGTTATACGTTCTGGTCTTCTCCAGATGATTGGAATTTCTAACCTAACCTTTTATGTCGTTCACGGTGTAGATTGTTCTAGTTCCACATGCCATTCCTCTTCCGCATATCTCAGTTTCAGTTATTTCCCTTAAGTACCTTAACTCTCCAGGTTTTTGTTCACCTCTGCTGTGGCCAGATATTGAACTCACAACTCTTTGGGTCAAGTCACTGGGTTAATTCAACCAACCCTTTTATCTACTGGGTCATGTTCTTGGGGACCGGAGCTTACAACTGTCGAAACGTCGTGAATATTACAGTAAAGATGAAGACAACAGTCTGAACAATGTAAATAGTTACAATACCTAATCTCAGAAATATAGACAGATCCTGAAGAAGGCCGGAGCGTACAACGGTCGAAACGTCGTGAATGTGACAGTAAAGATAGGGACAACAGTCTGAACAATGTAAATAGCTACAATACTTCATCTCAGAAAAACTGACAGACCTTTGTGTTTGTTGACTTATGGTGGACTTTAGTTTTAAACAGGTATCAGTTCGGAGTAAGTCGATATCAATAAAGGCTAAGGTGTTATAACAATACTTACGCAAAGTGAGTCCGGGAAACGATCGGAAAAAAATCCAAATTAGAATTGCAATTGAAACTTTGTCTTATGTTTATTTCACGTAAAAAAAAATGGACATTTTTATTGAATTTATTTCTTAATGAAAATAAATATCGAAGGCCAATCGATTTGAAGGGGAGCTTTTAAAGACATACTGTTTATTACGAAGCTCTTCATTTCCCCCCCCTTCACCTAACGGATTTCGACAGAAGTCAGATAAGTTTCTTTGAAGTGCGTATCTCTTCTTTTACAAAGAAATTAATCATTTTTGTTGTTGGAAAGAAACAAAATTTAGACAATTTTAAATTACTTGCCTCTTAATCAATTGGTCAACAAAATGAGTATTTCTTTTAACAGGTAACATTGGGTGTCCAACTAAAATTATATATATATATTATATATATATATATATATATATATATATATATATATATATATATATGCCAGAGTAACACAAATAGTAAAATATTTGTTAAAACAATGTATTAAAAGTGCTCAATACAAAGTCGGAAGACCAGACTTGCAGAGCTGTTTAATATTTAGAATGGACGAAAGCTGACCAGAGCACGCTACCGCGTTTTCGACCAGTTCAAGAGAAGGTGGTACAATCACACCACATCCTGTAGAATTCCGGAGCCTAGGTAGAGCACGAAGCTAGCAAGCTACTATTGGAAGTTTAAGGAGAGACATAGCAAAAGTCCAAGCATTAAATGGAGTATTTTAAGAAATTTAAAGACCAACGAAATAGTCAAGAATATGTGTAGGCTATGCCAAGAAGAGAAAGTGGTTATAGCAACATATAAAAACAGCAATGAACTGGGGAACGAGAGGTCAGAGATCATGACCAAATGCAGACATCTTAAAAAGTTTAGCTTGCGGTTATTTGAACCCGCTAAAAGTTAAAAAAAATTTTCTTCCCTCACTACTTAGTTTTGAAAGTGCTTAAGTTGTTGAGCGCCATGAAGTTGATTTACTGAACAAACCACCTGAGGAGACAGTAGACGTCGCAACCGCGATAGTGTGCTCTGGCCAGCTTTCATCCTTTCTTTTTCAATTATATATATATATATATATATATATATATATATATATATATATATATATGTGTGTGTGTGTGTGTGTGTGTGTGTGTGTGTGTGTGTGTAACGTTTTGGGTTGAAATGTGGATTTTAAAATATTATGCTCTATTCTTCATAATTCTACTACATACGTTTTTGGTTTCGCAACCTTCTTCAAGCAATATATATATATATGTAGGTGTGTGTCTGTATATATATATATATATATATATATATATATATATATATATATATATATATATATATATATGTGTGTGTGTGTGTGCGTATGTATATATGTATGTATGTAATCAAGCATTTCAAAATTTGATGTTGATAACCCTTTGTTTAACATTAAGATTTATTTTGAAGCAATAAAATTTATTAAGAACTTTTTTTCTCAGTAACATGTCACAGTGTGGAAATAACAAAAAAGTCATATAAAACATTGTTTAATCATTCAGTTTTGAGAAAAAGTATAAAAGACAAAATGCAACGAAATAAATTGTAAATGAGATATATAAATATATATATATATATATATATATATATATATATATATATATATATATCTCAAGTGACCTTGGGCGGCATCTACCCTCAGAAAAGAATTACTGAAACATTTATAATATAAAATAAAATGGTTTTTTTATTCGGTAAATGGAGCACAACGGGCACCCACCCTAGATAGTCTGTTTTGTATTTGTTACCCAGCTCCCAATACTGTAAATAGAAACTAAATTAGAACTGATAGTAATATGTAAAGTCTATTAAAATTTCATTTTTTATATTTTGAAATATAATCTTGCTCTTTCATGGTATACATTAGGATCAAGTAAAACCTGGCAAACTTTCTGAGAGCCAGTATACTAATCCTCAATTACAACTAATCTACAATTATCAACTTTTTTTTAGTAAAAGACTTAGTGATTTTCAATAATTAAG